TATTTGTCAATAAAAATACCACATCCTCCCTGGCAGGAAAGGCAGTTTTATTTATTTCAAGTAAATGTATTGTGCTTTACGTTAAAGGGAAGTTGTGGAGTTTTTAACCACTAGTGGTGCTGTGGAGCAGTGTTTTGATGTGTGTCCCCATTTTGTTTATATCAACCACATAAGAGAAAAAGGAGAAAAAAAAGACAAACAAATTAAAAACAAATTAAAATTTCTGGAGAGTAAGCATATGGAGTATAACAATAACAAAGTCTAAATGTTCTATATGAATATCAAGTAGAAAATAACTAATTAAACAGATTTTTTTGAGAATGGCCCTAAGTCTAAAAAATTACTCACATAGAGAATACCTAAACAACAGGCCAAAAGTTTTATAAAATATTTTGTAAAAGACCCCCAGGCCAATAAAACACAGCATAAATTTTAAGACATAAAAAACTCCTTTGAAGCCTACTACACAAAGTTATCTGCTCAACCCCAGGCGGCTGAATTAGCAGCCATATCAACATTTTTAGCATCCTTAGATTTACCAACTATAGGAATAGAGCAGAGTAAAACAATAACTAAGAACAAATAGGTTTTGTGAAGAACAAACCCAGGACAATGTGAGGAGGGCTTTCCACCTCACTGACTGTGTGAAAAACAGTAACATTGGATCAGTAGTTATAAGTCTTGACACTAAGAAGGCTTTTGATTCAGTCCGATGGGAATAGCTATGTTTGGTCCTTTGCTTTGGTTTCGACAAACAGGTAGCTGGATACCTGAAATCTTTATATTGCTTTTCTGTAGCCCAAATTAAAATAAACATGAATTTATCGAAAACAATGTTTCTTGAACAGGGACGTCAACAGGGATGCCCCCATAGCCCCACACTTATTGCTCACTTTATTGAATATTTGACAATTAGACGACAAAGATGAAAGAAAACAGGGGTATTAATTGGAGATACAGGACATAAGATCTGCTTGGTTTGTTGGTGTGACAATACATAGAATACAAAATGGAACAAAGTCAAATAAGCATACCTCTCCAATCCATACTGGGAGAAAAAACTCTCCAAAAGAAACCAACTGGATTTCATCTGACATAAAAAAAGACCTGGAATTTCAAAAAATGTGTGAATATTACGCTGGGTGGCATATGACACAGAATGTATATATGCTGAATTGGACAGTAGATTTAAACAATGGATGAATATCGGTATCATTTCATATTCCTTAATATCCTCTAACAAAGGGTTAGATATGTCTTAACAACTCACTGAAACTTGACATGATTACTTTTGATATGTTCAATTGAGACATTACTTTGATAAAAAAAATATTAAAAATACTGGAGAGAATGGAATGACTCTGATGAAGATCTTCATTGAAGCATATAAAGGTAATGGTAACAAAACATTGATTTCCAGGATTTATTCATCTGTACAATGGAAGAGGGGTCTTCCACCTGAAACATTTTAAGGTTTTATATAACTCCTAGAATAAAAAGAAAAGCAACAAACCTGACCATGATCAGTGTTGGAGAATGTGTGGTAGTATGTCTGCTGATAATTTTCATATTTTCTGGGCGTGTCTTTATATTTCATCTAACTGATTTTAATTTTAGTGTTAAGTATTTGGGAAATTGGCCAACTGTGCTGTAAAAGCAGGACAGATATTTACTACAAATACTACTAGCAGGTAGCAAAAAAAGCAATAACCAGGAAATGGCTGTGTAAGGAGTCCCCAACATTTCTTGAATGGACTGAAAATATTCAGGAAATGTTATGGACTTTTTCCCTGAGACACGCAACCAAGAAATGTGAAAAATACTGGAAAAACTGGAAGTCTTCTTTGAATCTTAAGTGACTGTGCTGCTTTGTATTTATATGTAGAGCTTTGTTGTGGTTCCTTCTGTGGTGAGGTCAGTGAAATGGACTGTAGTTGTGATTGGGTGAGGGACCCTGCTCTACTTGGGAACAACCCGGCTTTGTTACTGTGGGAACCATGGACCTTTTGGTGACTTAAGATTTTGGGGGACAATCATTGGTATGGGGGTTCCATGGACCTTTGCACTGTGGCACTGTGGATGTACAGTATCTGATGATTCATCTTACCTGTGATGGCCCTGCCTGTTGTTTGCACGTAAGATTCCCCAATTTGCATTGGTGGACTGACATAAATGTTCAAGATGCGATTGCCCCAATTTAAAAAGAAGTGTGCACCAGATACTATTTGGGCTGAATGCAGAATGCTAACATCTTTGCATCAGTAAAACTTAATTTATCACAGTGTTTCCCATAATATCATTTATTTGTTGTGGCCACAATATCCACATTGACTGCCACTGATTTTCTTTTTTATGTACTATTTAAAGGTCCAGTGTGTAGGATTTAGTGGCATCTAGCGGTGTAGCTGCTGATTGCAACTCATTTGTTTCACCCTTCCTTTCCAACTGCAAGGGAGAAACTATGGTAGCTGTGGGATATGTGAAAAACACCAACCGCCCTATAGGTAGAGTCAGTGTTTGGCTTGTTTTGGGTTCCTTCTGGGCTACTGTAGAAACATGGCGGTTCAACAATGCGGCCTCCACGGAAGGCGATCTACGGTGTCTGTAGATAAAAACGTCTCATTTTAAGTTAAGGAAAACACAACAATTCCTATATTCAGGCGATTATACACTAATAAAAACATAGCTATGAATATTATATTCCATTTCTGGAAAAATTGGAAAAATCTTATTTCATTGTATATCTACGTGCAGCGTATTGATTCACTCAGTTGGCCCTTGCCTCGCTCTAGCTCTCTCTATCACAAACAGACATTAATAACGAATTAATAACAAAATGTTTTCTTAACCTATTAGATGAAGACAAACTGCCAGTCCTACAAGAGGAGGACTCAAAGAGCTGTGAGTTAGCAGCAGTCTATCTTTCTCCCTGCCATAAACTGTGGCACAGTGAATGACACACGTTGTTGCTGTTATATTTGATGATAGGTTATTTGCTGTGTCTTGTATTATGTTTCTTTGTTGTAGTATCTTAATTTGCTATAGTATGTTTTCAATGTCTGCACCCTTCCTTTGACAATATGTACTGTGTTTTGTCATACCAATAAAGCCATTTGAATTGAATTGAATTGAATTGACAGCGGACCTGTCTGTACATAATCGTCTGTGCACACCTGGCATCTTCAATGTGATTACCCCGTTCAGTTCTCCAGCAGTTGGGAAACAACCCACTGGAGCTTTACTTTGGTCTTGAGAAGCTGCAGTCTTTATTTGCTGACAGACTGTAACCTACGCTGCACATTCACTGTTAAACTGACAACTTCACTGCTCTCTTTTCCTCTGCTCTGCTACCATTCACCATCTCTCTGCTGCTGGCTCTCTATCACAACCACACTGCTAGAAAAAAAAAAAAAAGAAAAAGTTGTGATTAGTGATCGCATCAGTACAGTCTCGGACGTGTTTGGGGTCTGGTGATTTAGTTGACTTGGCATTCAAAGGAGAGATGATGTGGATGTGTGGGGAAGGAGACAGAGTGGTGGTCAATGGTGAGGCAGAAGTTGTGAGCATAAAATTCAGACTGATTCCTCCTCTCTTAACTGTTTCTCAGGGAAATAAAATCTGTACCATATTGAATTACATAGCATCATATTCCTTTGCATCACATTACGTTGAATGCAATTAAACCTGCAGCCCTTTGCTGCATGTTGTCCCCTGTCTCTCTCTTCTGCCTACGTGTCCTATCAATTAAAGGCATAAAAAAGTCAACAACAAAAAAAACCATAAGAAAAGAAAGTTCATAAAAATTACTACTCACAAAACACTCACTAAACTATACACAACATCACACTAACATACGGTGCAAAAAACTTTAAGTAAATGTCCTCAAAAGACTGTGGATGGTTTTGAAATGTATCCACATTAAAATGGACGTGTCTACACACAAGGTTTAGTTTTCTAGTAACTTCTAGTAAAGAATGAAGCATTAAGAATGCGTCCAAACTGTGTCTGTACTGGGTTTAGTGAATTACTGTATATTGGATAAGCAAGTTAATGCCCAGGCATTACCCATGCGTTTTTACATTTTTTCTCCGCCACCAGGATGTTTTTAGCCGTTCTTCTATCATTAACTGAGTAATTGGATGAACCACGAGAAAAAGACAAAAAAAATAAATAAATTGTGCTTGCACAATTAGGCAGCAGATCCCACAGCATTTTTCTGTCCCTCATGATATTCAATCATGGACTAAAATTATTTCTGCCACTCTGATTTAATTTCCTCATCCACTGTGTTAATTAACAAGGTGTGACAGCTGAAGTCAGACGTTTCCAGTGTAAGTATTCCCTCTTAAGTATAATTACAAGAGTGCACTACGCTACACTGACAAAGCAAACAATAGAAACAGACCATTTTACATGCCAAACATAAAGAGGGTAGAGTACCTCGGGTGTATTACGCATTGTATCGATACCATTCGGGGCGATACAATGCGTTCTGATACAGTTCTTAACATTTCTTTAATGTAGACATTTTTTTTCCATTAAAAATAAAAAATCCTCAATCCTATAAGTGTCATTGCTTACATTCGATTACACAGATTTTATAAAATCTATGTAACCTATACACAATTGTAGCTGGAAAGTGTTTAATATCCGTGTCTTGCGTGTTGTTGCTCGTGTTAGCTGTATTAGCCTCCGCAGACTCCTCGTCACCAGCAGAGGTATCACCGTGTCGTCTCACCAGCTGAGTGTTAAGATCTGTCGTGCTACCGCTGTAATTCATTTCTGTCTGACAGATGAATCTGTGTGTGTTCGAAATGTACGCATATACAGTTCAAAAAGGTGTAGTTGTAGAATATGTGGAAAGCATATTTCATTTCAATTTATTACAATTATTGGATTTTTACATTCATTAATTTAATCAGAATTCACATTTATGTAATGCCATTAGATAACCATTACCAAAATTAAATATGTAACACATTGAGGAGGAAGCCTGTTACTGCCTTTGATACTATTTAGTTTTTATTAGCAAAAAGCTTATACATGAGAATTCAACAAGCAAATGTAATACTGACAAGAGCTAATTATATTTACAAATCTTCATAAAACATTTCATATACAATTTAAAACAGTATAACTATCTCTTATTACTTGATATTTACTAAAAATAAAAACAAGATGTAAATAAGCTGGAACACTGGCCTAACACGGTGACAAAGAAAAGTTTTAAAACAGGTTGTGAAAATGCATATATTTAAAAAAGCTTGTTGTTCCTGGTTGATTATAAACCCCATAACAAACCACATGTGTACACAGGCCACAGATCATGAGCTGGCTCACTTGCAGCAGTCTTTTAAACCCCATGACATAGTCTACAGTTGAATATCCTTGCATGGCTTGAGTTGAAAAATCTGTCTCTCTCCAGCATACGGTTCTATATCAATTTCCTTATTTATTTTGAACAAGGGGACAAGGGGGAGCCTGAATCTTTCCAGTCATTCCAAAATCCTTAGCCTGTCACTATGGCTGAAGGTTCAGTTTTCCTGTTGTATCCCACACAAATAAAAAGTGATTCCAATATTTATGAGTGCCATTTTCAAAAGTGTGTTTTCATGATTATCGTGATACTAGTGTGCACTGCAGTTATTCTGGCCAAAATAATTGTGACATGGAATTTTTCTTATGGTACCATGTCTAATCAGGTTATACTGCAACAATCAGTCAGCCATGAGAGTGACCTCTCTCTTCGTCTAACAAGACAAACAGCGTCTTCATTTTCTTCATTCATGCCATTGTTGGCAGAAAGTTATTGTCCAGATGTTGCCAGTTTCAGTAATATCCCAACACATTTACTGACATATAGATGCTGATAATGAAACAAACTGCCCCCACGTCAGATGTGTGTAACAGGATATACTGTGGTAAATAACAGAGAATCTTGTGACGCCTGGTCTTTATATTGTGGTTTCCGCTCGAACAAAGCTAACGTGCTTGTGCGTGCCATCCTCTGTTTCTTCTGTTTATTCATCCTTAGCCTGGTACACAACTCGTGTAAAACACCCATCTTCATCCTGAGAGACAATGTGACATTAATTACACATCTATTTAGGATAATTATAATGTAATTTCTACTACTGTGTTGTTATATTGTGACGGAGGCTGACCCCTCCCACCCCGGCCACAAACTCTTTGACCCTCTCCCCTCTGGCAGGAGGTTGCGGTCCATCAGGACCAAAACCTCTCGCCACAAAAACATTTTCTTCCCGTCTGCAGCTGGCCTCATCAACAAGGCCCAGATCCCCCACTGACACTGACTCTTATACCCACCCTGTATATATGCATTACATTAATGCACTCCCGTTTTCTGTACAGTTTTCCTATCTTTTCTTATCTTTCTTATCTTTATTTATCTTTATTTACTACTTAGTACTTTATTCTTGTGTGATTTTTGTGTGACTTGTATATTTTTGTGTGATTTATATATTTATCTTTTTATTTTTTATGTGTGATTGTATATTTTATGCACCATTGCACCAAGACAAATTCCTCGTATGTGTAAAAACCTACCTGGCAATAAATCTCATTCTGATTCAGATTCTTCTAAGATACATTAAGACAACAAAGATGAAAAAATAGCAGCTAAAACTGTAAAAATGCTAATGAAAACTTAAATATATATCTATACATATGAAATTGCCAAATTCCTACTGTTCATTACCTTATTCCATCTTGTTTGTGCCTTGGTGTCAGCTCCTTTCTGGAGAATTGGACGTTCCTTATCTGCAAAAATGAATGTAGCATCATCACAGAGTAGCAACAAGCAAATATAATGATACTGACAGCTTACCTTAAGTAACTGTTCATTTAAAGTAAAACAGGGTTAAAAACATTAAAAAAGCGACTGTGAGACAACAGTAGGTACCTGCTTTCTGATAGATGTGATAAATCAAAATAAAAGAGAGGACAGAGGACAGAATAGTGATTGCTGGAGACAACACCATCATCCAGGACTCAGCAGACACAGGGCAGCACCCACTGGAGTCTGGGCGGGAATCTGTATCAATTACATACAGTATGTTATAGGATTTAAGGGTGTAAGAAATGTTATATATAATATTGTATTGCAATATTTAGTTTTGTATATATTCTCCCAAAAAATGTTTTTGGGGGTCTACAGCCCCAATGGCCAGATAACAGCGTTGTAAACGTAGACTGCAGTCAGTAAAACCTTTTAAGAATATCTGCGTCACCACTGTGATGTTTGAGTAGTAAAATGGATGACATTTACCTTTTCCAGCTTACACCTACGTTTTCAAATAAAAATCAACATAAAACTTGATTAAAGATTCCTTAAAATAAAAAGAAATATCAGACCAGCATACTTACCTAAAATGATCCTTGTTGTGACGTTGCCATATGAGTAATTCAATCTCTGAACAATGCATAACTTATCCTCCACTGTTTTCTTTACAGTTCCACAGTAGTAGAGACCCTCATCTGAATCAGTGATGTTCTTGATCAACAGGTCATAAGATTCAGAGGAAGAGTTTCTCACAAATTGATAACGCGGGAAAAGGCTCAGACCATGCATAGTGGTACTAGCTCTGGTCCCGCAATGAACCAATGTTATGTTTAAGGCCAAGAGTAGGCTGGTTCTCATGAGTGCAGTTTCTGTACCACACTATATATACTCCAGTTGATATTTTGCAGTCACAGTAGACAGTGATGTTGTCTCCTGGTCTGACTGCCACCTTCAACACTGGTCCAGAAATCCAACCATGACTGTAAGAAACAACTCCTGGAATACAAACACAATGGTAAAAGCAGTTTGAAATGTGCTCAGTGTTACAGGATTCACATTACAGCAGGTCCAGGTTTCTGCTCAAGGCAACAACAATGAGAATACAGGTATAGCGAGGAATTATTCTCAAACTTCAGATTCATAGACAAAGGAATTACCGAAGAGAACGACCAGCATGTGCAGCCCGTCCATGTGTGACAATGATCGAGGGTTAAAAGACAGTGAAACAGGTCTTACTCACAGATATCATGCAGACTTTTTTCCATTAAAGGAAGTATAGGCTGTGATTGGCTAGTCAAGTGGAACATTTTCTCCAGTGGGTGTTTTCTATTGGTGTAATGCTGCATGGCAATAATGTTTCCTCTGTGAACTCACATACCACCAGATGTGTTAGAGTTTACACTATACTAAACATGAACACTCATATAGAGTACAGGTAGAGAGTCCACTCTGAATGTTGATCATTGTAAATTGTCCTTTTATTGTTGTCAAACTGAACTTCCTAATTCCAACCTCTTCCCCAGTGACTTTCCTTCCCAAAAAAAACCAAAGCATTGACCTTTTCTGAAAAGGTTTAAAAATTATTTGAATTTGTGTACAACCACAAAATAGAAAGGATGTTTGTCTGCACTTTAGCTGTTTCTGATAGGTCATATTACCTCTGAGGATATCTGCCTGACAACATCAAAGTGTCACAGCTTTGTGGCGGTAACCTGCAACAACCAGAATACTCTTGTCTTTTTACTGGGGCAGAAACATAGTTTAATGATACACTGTGCCTGTGTATGTGCATGTGTATATACCTGGATTGATGTCTGTGCAGCGACTGATGTTCAGTGGTTTTGACAATGAGTCTGTTATTGTTATGGCTATATGTGTTTTCTGTAATTACATTAAGTAATATGGTGTTGTGCTGAACACAGATTATCTGTATGGAAATGGTCGAGACATATAACCTTATAAAGAGTTTGATAGGAGGTGTAATCTTTGAGCGAGTCAGATAATGAGAATCTCTGTGTACGAGATGGAAGCAAATAATGCTGGATCGATTGTCAACCTAGTGATATTTTTGCATTTTGTAGAGTATATCTATTAAAGGAGTCATATTATGCCCCTTTTGAGGTTCATAATTGTATTTTGTGGCTCTACTACACTAGCTTTATTTGTTTTAATGTTCAAAAAATACATTATTTTTCTCATACTGTCTATAGCTGAGCACCTCTTTTCAGCCTCTGCCTGAGCTCCTGTCTCTTTAAGGCCCCCCTCCCGAAAAGCCCAGTGTGCTCTGATTGGTCAGCGTTACGACGCGTCCACAGTTTATGCCCTCCCACTTCCGCCTCAATGCTTCTGGTGTTTCAGCAGGCTTGATCACGCTGTCCCTCGTATCACAACATAAAATCCAGACAGCGGATTTAGTAACTATAGTAACCTGCAGCAGTGAGCTCACAGACCAGGGCTAACAGGCTGCAGCTGCTGTGTGCTAATCAAAGTTACACAATCTTACCAAACTCATTAATTCCTACAGTTTTATATTAGTCACGGTTTTACTTAGGAACAGCACTGAGCCACTACAGCCTCTCTGTGCTACTCAAAGTCACACAGCCTTACTAAAGGAATACATTCCTGCAGTTACACATAGCTCTGTCTTTACCTCGTACTCGTCCATCACGTGAATTTACATATGGCAAAACACACCTGAATGGAGAAGAAGGCCTTCAGCTAGCTGGCCTTAGGTAACGTTAACACATCAGTAGAAAGTTACACAAAAAGCAACATGAAAGACAATCACCAGCATCCACCCTACTACTCCTGGGATTCTGAGCTTCTCACAAGGCTTAACGGTCACACAGCTTCTGACTGTCCCTCGTAGTACAACAGAAAGTCTGACATCGGCCCAGCCTGTGTGACTACAGTGTTAGCCACGTTAGCTGCACATGTATCTTCACATACACCCTCTGATGATGGGAGGACATGTAGACGTCCGTGCTGGTTCGAGCAGCAAACATCTTAGCTCCAGGCTCTCAGTAACAGCCACTGCAGGGCAAACATGGCAGACAGCAGCAAAGGCAGCTCTTGTGCGTGGGCAGTGGTTAGTCAGATGGGAGGTGGTGCTATGCAAATGACTCCCTCTGTTATGTAACAAACGGAGCAAAATCTGAATGGAGCGTTTGAGCTGAAGACTGAGTAGATTTTTTTCACAGTTTCTGTGTTGGTAGGCCACCCAAATACCCAAATATGTGTGTACAAACATTAGAAAAGTGTATTTTGCTAAATATGTCCCCTTTAAATATGTTTCACCACATTGAGCCTGTGTGACATCATTCTGTGCACCACTACACTCACAAGTTATAAACATGGGATGGTTTGTCCTCTCTACCATCCATCCCATACGACATTACTATTGCCATGCAGACTATATTTTCAAAAATGAGACTTGAACTGCAGCCCAAGGAGAGTGAGTGAAATATTGTGTGACAAAGTCATGCCTGCAGACTTAATAGATGATGCTGATTAAAATGAACTTAACTGGGCTGAAAACACAACTTAAATGCAAGGCAGGCTGAAACTGCTTATATTTCTCAGTGAGTGTGTGTGCATTTCACAATTCTATTGCTGTGTGTGGTGGTGCAGATGTTATCCAGAGGATTTTAGCCTCGCTGTTATCAGCTCAAGCCCCTCTGCAGCATGGTATTGAGAGACTGCAGCCTGCAGAAACCACAACTGTTTCCATCCACTAATAAAACTGCACAATCACCCGCTGCAGCCAGCCAGGGGCCTGTATTACAAGGTGTTACCCTGTGCATGCATGTGTGTGTATGTGTGTATGTGCATTTGTTTTCCATTGACCTTAGCAACTAACTACACAGGAAACCGTGTCATTTTTTTAAGTAAAAGTAGCAATACAGCAATATAAAGATACTCCATTACTCCTTTAGCTGCATCAGTGTCAACAGGACAGTAATCTGCTACATCAACCCACATAAGGGGCTGTTTTTCAGTGTGGTTTTCCTGTGGACCCGATCACATGGGCAACACAATGTAGTTCACTTAACTTCATTGTCACTCTGTATTGTGTTGTAACATCTTGGAAGTTTTAAGTGTAGCAATCTTGTGATTTGTCCATCCATGAAAAATATCATTACTTGAGTCTGATTCTCATTCAGTTTCACCATAACCATAATTTTCCTGATGTAGCTGCTGTTAGCGAGTTAGCTTAGCCGTACTGACCTGGATGCCCAGGACTGGGTGTTCAGAGCACTGGAGGACTGTTGGTGTTTACACTGGTACTCAACTGCTGGGAGGAGGAGGTTTTCAGGGCTGGGACAGGGAGAATGCCGACAGAGAGCAGTGCCAGATCGCCTGGTCACACACGTTCTCATATTCCAGATAAACAGTACACTAAAACATATTTGTGAAACCATTTTAGGAGAGAAATAGTCAACGCAGTAACAGAATCTGGATCCATATCTGATCAGCACTGTCTAGTTTGACAGTTTGAAGAAATGTGCTGAACCCTTGATGAAACCTTGGATGGATCAGAAACAAAGTTGCTTTTCTTAACAACTGAAAGGTTCACATTTTGGACTTGCGATGTTGTCATCAGACCATGCCAATGTAAAAACAGTGCACCCGTGTCTTGATTGCCATTTCACCTCAGAGGATATCTGCTTCCTGCTGTGAGCTGACTCTTCTGGTGTCAATCCTCCATGGTGGTAACTTGCAACAACCAAATTTCTCATTTATTTTCAAGTGGGAAAAAAAACAATTTTACTGTGCTTCAGCATGCCTGTGTATGACTATGCACATGCAAAGGTGTGATTTGCTCTGCAACCACTGTTGCTCTTTTGTTTAACAAACAAACGCTAACCACATATACACTGTTCACTGTGAGACACACAGTTTGTGCCTGAATGTGAGAAAAACAAGAGATAAATGGAATGTGGTTTATCTCTTTGTTCTCTCAGACTGACAGCATCACTGTAATGTCTTTTTCGTATTACGGTGACATGTTCATTGTTTTTTAAAAATGTTTTGAGGCTTGTTCGTTGACTGAAAAATGGCTTTTTGGTATTTGGTAAAACTACTGAAAATGTAATAAATATTTTTGTTTGGCTCGTCATAAGCAAGACTTCAAGAGTACTGGGCATTAGAAATAGCTCCACCAGATATATATATGTTACATAACCCAGACCAATTCGCTCTGCAGGACTGTGAATGTCAGTGTTGCCTGAGAACCTTACTGATCATATGAGCTACAGTATAAGATGCTTGTGGTTACTGTAATTAAAGGAAATTGAATAATAATAATTATTCAAAATTTGTCTGAAATACATTACTTTAAAAATTATGCAAAAAAAACAATACAACATAATTGATTTCCAAAGTCCCATTTCCAAAAGACACTTCCATGTAGACATGATAATAGTAATGATAAAAATCTTTATTTACAGAGCACTTTTCAAAATCCAGATTGCAAATGTAAATCACAATAAAGAAAGGAAAAGAAAAATAAGGCTGTCTATGTATGTAATGGATGGGAAGAAGTGGGCATCATGGGGATTAAATTCTAAAAATTAAATTTTTGCGATTAAATTCTGGAGTTGACCACACTCCCTCTAATATGACTTCCGAATGTTATTTTTTTATGAACATTGGGTATTTATTTAGCGAGAATTTATATCTGTTTACAGTACTATTTACAGTAAAAAAATTTGGTGCACTGTGGGTCCATCACAGATTTTTGATGATTCCAATATCTGGCTGGGTCGTATGTGATGACTGAAGATGCTATGTAGCCAGTTTGGTGTCAAAGGAGCAAAAAATGTGTTTAGTTTTGCAAATTTGGCGAACAAAAAACAGTGATAGACTTAATAATTCCTGCCAGCTCAAAGCATCTGAATATTTCCACCAACTAGGCCTACATTGTGGTGAGAGTTTCAAAGCGATAGCACATGTGACTGATTTGTTGTGAATTGTCAAAGTTTTCAACTTTAGACAGCGCTGTAGTGCCACCATCACAACTATTAGACCACAATGCCAGTCGAGGCCATTTGGCATTAGGGATGGAACGATATATAATATTATCGCAATATCCCGATTATCATAATACAAAACACTTTATCTTGGTAAATTTCCATTATCACAGTAATCGTTAATATCCTCCCATGGCTTGACTTTTAAAAGGCTGACAGAATGGTGCAGATGTATGCCTATACATTAATTATAAGACTCATTATCAATCATCATTATACAATTACATTTTTTGTATGATAGACTCTCTACACTCTAGAAGTATTGATGGCAGAATATGTGCTGAAGTCAGAACTCTGGGTTTTCTTCTTCTTTGGTCTCTGAGACGGCTGACGGATTTCCAGTGCAGCATAGCATACATCTTCATCCTACGATTGGACATTTGTTGTTTAGAAGCATGATCATGTAGTGATTTAATGCCATGACTATATTCTACTGTTACACCTACCTGACTCAGTCTTGTTCGACCTCTAGTTTCAGGTTTTTGTTGATCAACTTGAGGTTCTTTAGCTGCACACATAAACACACCATCATGGTACACCAAAACTCACACAATTAATTAAAAGAGGAATCTACCTATCTTTGTGATTTAAATGATTTTTGTGGATTAATTGTCCAGGATATTTCTGACATGAACACATTAAGTTTAAAAAGTGAAATATGTGACTTACCTGTTTTATGACAGATGTGATAAACCACAAGTGAGGAGAGGAGAGAGGAGAGAACAGCAGAAGCTGGACATAGAGAGAACAGCAGCACCCGGTACACAGCACAGTCTGGGTTCTCACGAGGATCACCAGAATCTGAGTCTAAAACAAAGTTGTGTTGATCAGCTTCAATAAACTCTGATCTCACAAAAATGTCAGAATGAAAGCGTATTTATTTTTCATTTTCCTGCACACAGTTTTAAGTGTATTTAAGTGTAAAGACTTTGCTCAACGTTGGTCCCATTTAAGAATTGCCTTTAAAGATATATCCAATAATTACTTGTAAAAAACAATAATACAAGTTGTTGATACATAGTCTTCACATGTTGTGTGGTAGACTTCATGATAGTTCATCTATCAATATAGTTTTCCCACTGTATGATGATCATTCAGTCAAATTATTACATATACTAAATAAACAGTCATACATAGATGTTTTAGGCAAAGACAATTCAGACCAGCATACTTACCTAAAATGATCCTTGTTGTGACGTTGCCATATGAGTAATTCAATCTCTGAATAATGCATAACTTATCCTCCACTGTTTGCTTTACAGTTCCACAGTAGTAGAGACCCTCATCTGAATCAGTGATGTTCTTGATCAACAGGTCATAAGATTCAGAGGAAGAGTTTCTCACAAATTGATAACGAGGGAAAAGGCTCAGACCAGGCATAGTGGTACTAGCTGGGTCCCGCAATAAACCAATGTTTTGTTTAAGGACAAGAGTAGGCTGGTTCTCATGAGTGCAGTTTCTGTACCACACTATATATACTCCAGTTGATATTTTGCAGTCACAGTAGACAGTGATGTTGTCTCCTGGTCTGACTGCCACCTTCAACACTGGTCCAGAAATCCAACCATGACTGTAAGAAACAACTCCTGGAATACAAACACAATGGTAAAAGCAGTTTGAAATGTGCTCAGTGTTACAGGATTCACATTACAGCAGGTCCAGGTTTCTGCTCAAGGCAACAACAATGAGAATACAGGTATAGCGAGGAATTATTCTCAAACTTCAGATTCATAGACAAAGGAATTACCGAAGAGAACGACCAGCATGTGCAGCCCATCCATGTGTGACGATGATCGAGGGTTAAAAGACAGTGAAACAGGTCTTACTCACAGATATCATGCAGACTTTTTTTCCATTAAAGGAAGTATAGGCTGTGATTGGCTAGTCGAGTGGAACATTTTCTCCAGTGGTTGTTTTCTATTGGTGTAATGCTGCATGGCAATAATGTTTCCTCTGTGAACTCACATACCACCAGATGTGTTAGAGTTTACACTATACTCTACATGAACACTCATATAGAGTACAGGTAGAGAGTCCACTCTGAATGTTGATCATTGTAAATTGTCCGTTTATTGTTACGATGCCGGCTGTTAACTGTTTGAAATATGGAACAGGACTAGTGTTCAGTAGCAGATGTTGCTGAGACAAGAGAGAGTGTCACTCTTTTTGTCAGTTATACTCACATGGGCTGTGGTCATTTTAGAATAGGTCAATTATCAATGCTTATCAAAAAGACGTGGAGTACGTGGCTGTTCCAATTACTCATATGAACATTTTCTGATCTGCCAAACTCAACTTCCTAACAAAATCATTGACCTTTTATGAAAATGTCCAAAAAGTTTGTACTTTGGAGATTTGAATTTGTGTCCAACCACAACATAAAAAGGATATTTGTCTACTCTTTGTCTGTTTCTGATTATTACCTCGGAGGATATCTGCCACGACGACGTCAAAGGGTCACATGATGTGCAGCTACTGATGTTCTGTGGTTTTAAAGACAATGCTCACCACATATGAACTGTTCAAAGGTTTCGGTTGTCTGAATGAGAACAAAGTCTGCCCTTGATGGTGGTAAATTTGTTTCTGTGTCTGCTGTGGTAAGAAGTTATTTTATAATTCATTTCAGTATAGCAGCCCTTACGTTGCCTACTTTGCCTCTCTTATTTAGAGTTCATCCTGCTACTTTCTACAACTCAGTGACTCAATCATCCTCATAGCCCAAGGTAAACATTATTTTTGCTCTTTTTGAGCAAAGAAAATGTATTAAACAAGGATCTTCAGAAAATGACCTACTCCTGTCAGTTTTTGTCAAAGTAGGGTATCATAAAATATTGTTTGTCCAAATGTACCCCAATATGAAAAATATATAGATGCATATTTCATGCCATTTATAGATATTAAAAGTCTTTGAAAGGACTGACATCTTGACTAGAATTGAAGATCAAAGTTAATATGGAATGGAACAATTATGTGTTTGTGATGATGCAACTGCATGAAACTTATAATATCTGGGATCTGAATGGTCTCTCTTGTGGAGCCATGATATGTGTTTTGTTCACTCCATTGACATTGTTAGTACGATAACAATGTCAATTGTCATGTCAAAACACATAGTAGGCATTTTGTAAAAAAGTATTGAAAAACAACAAGTGTCTAGTTATTAATTAAAAGACAAATGCTACAGAGAATTGGATGCAAATGGGAATAGGCAGATCAAATAGTCATATCTTTAATTAGGTTTCGTTACACACCACAGGACATTTGTATTGAAGAGAAAATGTATAAGATAAGATATACATATATAATAATGTATGTATAATAATACACCGCATTAATGATAGACCTATCTCTAAAGATTTTTAATTAGGAGGGGACATTGTCACATCCATATAAATATACAATCTAAAAGAAAAAATAGGAAATGTTGAGATCTTGTAGGTTGAAACACCTAAAAAAGAGAAAACTATTTAACTGTTTATTTATTTGGAGTGTGTGCAGACCATTCCCCTTTGTGCCCTACATTATATTAAGTTGAAACCTTCTTTATTTAAACATACCTCTAGTGTTGCTGTGTGGATACACATCTTCAGATGAACCGGGTCTTTCAAAAGCCTCTTGTCTCTTACAGTATTAAGGGCTTTATGACCTTCAGATCCTGGCCTTAACCAAAGTTTACTTGTGTGGTTAGTCACATGGAGGGGCTCACGGTAGTGATCAGTGCCTGTTCCCTGGCCATAGTGGTTCTTAACATGGAGCATTGCTGATACCGACGTCTCTTTCAGCTCAACAAGTGATTTCTAATGGATGGAATCCACTCTCCCAGCCCTTCACATTCCCTCCTCTTAGTTGAGTGGCCAGGTTTTTTGATAGTCATTTTGCCACATGCCAGGGATCAAATTCATGGTGTTTTTATAATAGATAGATAGATAACTTTATTAATCCCACAATGGGGAAATTCACTTGTCACAGCAACATTTGGGTAAAATAAATAGGCTACAGATATAAAAAACAGGAACATTTGCATACAGCAGGTCCAAGGTCTTATTGTCTCTGGTGGTGCATGTGACAAACTGGTGGAAGGTTGGGAGTGTGGATGAGAGACAAATATGGTTGAAGTCCCCTGTGATGATGATGAAGGCCCCTGTGATGATGATGAAGGCCTCCGGGTGTTTTGTTTGTAGTCTTGCAGTCACAGTGTGGATGACGTCACACGCTGCTTATGCTTTCCCAGACAGAGGAATGTAAACAGTGATGGTGATAACACTGGAAAGTTCACGTAGCAGATAATATGGACGAAGTCCGACGGCGACAAGCTCGATGTCCGGACTGCAGACACGCTCTTTCACGCAGACGTGCCCGGCGTTACACCACCTGTTGTTTATGAGCACGGACAGTCCCCCTCCTTTCTTCATCCCTGTCGGCTCGAACCGTCTGGAAGCCAGGAATGGTGACGTTGGAGTCCGGTATGTGCTCGTGTAGCCACGTTTGTAGGGTTTAAACCTCCTCTTCTTCATCCTCCGTTTAACCCCCGCTCTGCGGCCTCGCCGTCTCCTCCTCAGCTCTCCAGTCAGGATGATGCAGGATGATCATCTGGTCGCGGGTGTAAACAATGCGACTCCCCGTCGCCATGGAGACCCATGCAAACAAAAAATTAAAAGTGCTCAAAAACGCCAAAAAAGTATTTAACTATTTGTGGATGTCTTTCTTCTGTAGTTTTAAAATCTTCCTCAAAACCTTTGATTTCCATGGTACTACTTGTGTGTAGCCTATTACCTTGAAGTCAACAACCTCTTTACTCAGGACATCTAAAGAGGTGTACAAGCAATATTTGGCTCAGTGGCCTCGAGAGTCGCACCGGCCTTCTCCACAGCTTCATAGCAGTTAACACTGCACCCAGCTCATTGGTCTTGTTATTTTTTCAACAACAAGAAACTTCTTTCTCAGTGTTGTGTAGGTGTCTTCACCTAGAGTTTTCTCAGGTTACTTCAGAACCATTCAAATTTAGCAAAATGGATGCCACTGAAGTAACTACAGCTGTTAGCACATCTGAGCTGCAGGCATATTTTAGTAGGAGGGGTAAATACAATGTATTAAGGCCTACCCATTGTCATAGTCAGGGTCCCTTATAAAATGAACCACACACACACACACACACACACACACACACACACACACACACAAACACCGCCCACACCTTAATACTTGTAATCATTTAATGCTGTTCAGGTACCGGGGGACGCGCTCCAGATGGCTCTGACGAGAATCAGCACTTTCTATTGGCTTAAATTAATTGGGGACACTTCAGTCAAGGCCACCCGTTCATTTGACAGGCCTTTTGCTGCCGTTGACATATGCCACCCCACACCACACTGCATGATGGGAAAACTAATGGACCTGTTGTCCTATATGGGGCAGCTGGCAGGAGACATAATATGGGGGGTGTGGCTGGAATACTGTACTCACATGGCAGGGTTGGAACCATATGGATTTTTAAGGGAGACACAGTTAACTCTCTGGAATGAAGATACTTATTACTGGCTATAAAAGATATAGGCACATTTTGATACCATATAACGGTCTCGTCCTCCTGCACAGATTTACATTATGTTCACCTCTACATCATTTCAAAAGAAGGATTTCATCATTGTAAAACATAAAACGCTATCAATGTGTGATTCACTTTAAAGCAGTTGATTTCAGCGGCATCAGCACTACAGTAATGACCTCACATGAGGACCTGTGTTAACTTCATCTGGGTTCTTCATTTCCAGCCCGCTCATCTGTTTAATCAACTATTCTCCTTGACTGTGTGCAGAAGAATTCAATTAACAAACCCTGAGGCCACACCTCATTCAGACCTCTTCCGTCTTGTGCAGTAATACTACCTGTGCTCAAGTTTGCTGAAACAAACCTAGAAACATGGCAAAAATTGATTATTTTTTGTGGCTTTTTATTTATGGAGTGATAAAAATAGATAAAATCCCCTCTATCAAAACCTTTGACTTTAATATGTCAGCAAAATAAACACAAAATTCTGAACCTTTTCAGATTTCTCTTGTACTAATGTATGCAAATTAGCAAATTTTCACATTTAAACTTCACAAAACTTGTAATACAAAAAAATATATAATATAGTGACTAGTGATCAACTGGGGAAGTTGGTGATATTACGCTTTTAAACCTGTTTCACCTGTAGTGTCTCCCCTTTATAATTGTGTTATTACAATCAATGGAAGCATGATATCAGCTGAAATAACTAGTTCTTAGTAGTTAGTTAAATCCTGTCTCCTAGAAATTACATTTGTATATTACTAATTTATTTGCTTTTATAAGTGCATTGTGGTGAAGGTCTAATACCTGCCACAATTATAGACATTGAAACTCTAGTGAAAGGTGTATATGTTGCTGGTTTAATGTCAATATGACAATGAACAGACCCTTTAAACGGTTACTCTTTCTGGGAACTGTTCGCGGAAAAACTCTCTAGTGAAGCGTTGCTGCAGCCGCAGATGAGATACGCAAGGCGGGCGGTGTGACTGCTCTAATCTGTTAGCATGGGAGCCCAAATATAAAGAAAGACACAATGTGTTTTCATATTTGTGGACTGATTCTTCTGTGTCCTTTAGCTATTCCTTCTGTTTCAAGTCACTGCTGAATAATGCTGTCACTACGAGTGAATAATATTACCAGATTGCCTCTTTCGAATCGAATAGAATGCAACTTTATTGTCGGAAAATCACATTTGGGGTCACCAGATCAGATAACAACATCACATCACAACAGTTAACACAACATTTATAATACAACTAGTGCAGTTGGTAGAAAACAAACTGTCAATGAACATTTTACTGATACGTTCACTACCAACATT